GGCAATTATAACATGATGTTGACCCGGGTCAAACCCGGGTCAATTAAATCATGACCCGACCCGTTTCGGAGCTCTATTCACACCAAAGTTGATTAATTTATAAATAAAATTTTTCAGAAGCACCATTAGAACGTTTTGAAAGATATTTATTGATATCATTAATTACTTCTGAATTTGGAGGAAGGTGAATATCTTGTGAAACACCTCCTTCAATTCCACATTGGTTGTTTTTGCTACAATAACGCCGAAAAAGTAAACCACCATCAGGTAAAGGTTGAAATTGATCAACACGAAGGTTGTAGTGTTCTCCACCACGACATGCAAAATTAGTTGCATTTCGAAAAAATACTCGATATAAAAGGCCTTCAGGGGTATTTGTATTAAGAAAATTATCAGCAAGAATTTCTTGAACTTGTTGTGTTGTTAATGCCATTGATCCCTCTTTTTCGCCAAATCCTTTTTCTTGCAAATCTTTCATTTTACCATGTAATACAGTCCATAAATCCGGAAACTCGTATTTGTCATGTAAATTGATTCCACGGATTGGTGAAAATTTTACCAAGTGGCGGTTAATAGCATCAACAGCTTGTTTTACTGTATTTGCTTTATATTCTCCAGCGTTTTTCTTTTTAGACATTTGTGCAATATATTCACAAACTTGTTGTTCAATCAGTTCAGAATCTGTAATCTTATCAAGTGGTATAACATAATTATAATTCTTGCGGAATTCTTCAAATTTAGCAATCCAATTTCGAGTTGATTTTTCAGTATTTGGAACCATAGCTTTTTGACGATAAAATTAAGTTTCTTATAAATTTCCGACGATTCTTGTTGTAAGGAAATAGAATCAACTGGTAAAGTGGAAGTTGAAGCCTCGGGTGCTTTTTGGGAAAGGAAGGAGCTTGCATTGGTAAAAACAGGTTGAAATTCTTGTCTCTGTTGCTTTTTATTGGTGTGAATTTGAGGCATTTTGTAATCAATTTAAAAAATGTTTTAAAAAGGATGCGAAAGGTAAATTTGGAAAAGTAGTAGTAAATTTTTTATAATAGTGAATTTACAGTAAAAAATACTTTTATAGCAAATTAAACTTTTTCATAAAATAAACTTTTTTTTTCATCATGGGTGTTAGTCTCCGTGAGATAAACCAGTTATTTTACAGGAATCCATAAAATATCATTATTTTCACGGCTGTGCCGTGAAAATTAATGATATTCATGGATTCCCGTGAAATAACTATTACATGTCAAATGATCATTACAATATCCCCCCAAAAATTATAGTCATCATTTAAAAAAAAGGGTGCAATTGCAATGTATTTATGAAATAAAAAAATCGTGTGATAAAAATAGTCAGATGATAGGCTTGTTTAAAATATTCAATGTTTATATATGTTATTAGATTGTCTTTTGACTTTCAAACTTTATGGTTGATGTAAAATTAAAAAAAAAATATTGATGAATTGAAAAAAATTCCTTGGGAACAGTCAAAATATTGATATGTAAATTTTAGGAAAAAATAGCTTTTTTTATTTTTTATTTAAAGGAAATGATAAACTTTCAACAATTACATTGAGATATGCAATTTTTTGTGTATGTCCTTTTTTTTTATTCACATTGAAATTTTGCAAAAGTAAAAATTAATTATTTGATTATTTTATCTTTTATCAATTATTTGAAAAGCTTCTAATTTGCCAAATCTACTCTTATTTGCTATATTGATGTTGTTATAAGTATGTAGTTGGTTTATATAAAAACCACCAGTTGGAAGAAATTGAATGTCACAACCACCAAAAACAGGCAAATGAGAGTTACCACATTGAATTGCAAACTGATAATGGTTAACCTTCAACTTTTCATATTCCATAAGATTGTGACATTTTAACCAAAAATTGTCAATGAGTCCCGTTTTCCTAGATTCAGACTTAGAAAAATTTTTTAAAGGTTATTCAGAAACTGCAACTGCAATTTAACAGGTCACAAATTAGTAAGTCACAAGCTGGCTACAGCAGAGGCGGAGTCCATAACCATGCGAAGACGTAGTTCCATGGGTAAATTGACTACCACTTGTGTGATTGATTTCAATCATTAACATTAAAGAACCTTCAGAATTATTGAAATTAATGACATTACAAAAGTGGATTAAAATAATAAACTTTCAAAATAATTAATTATATAGATAATACTTAGCTTTTTTGTTGTTATCTAATCCTTTCCTCATATATGAATTCCTTTGTCTTCACATCCATCACAACGATTATTCAATACATTTGATATCATCATTGACATAACAAACAATTGTATCACCAAAGTAGTAATAACACCAAGGCCATGCATAAATGAAAATTTTAATAATGCGTGTCTACCCAGATTTCTGGTATCAAAAAAAAGAAAAAAAAAATCATCCAATTATATGATTCCTTAAAAAAAAATGAATAAATTTGATGATATTAATAATAGGTGTCAGATTTAATAAAACTTTCATATCACAAACATACAGTTGGTGCTCTTAACACTCCTAAAAACTTCTGTGGGATATTTTTCCACAGGTGAAAGTCCCCACATGTTGGAAGGCTTTTTTCAAGATGGGCAAAACTTCCCTTTATCTTCTCCTCAAACCAGGTTTGGTTGTTGCCATATAGCCTTGAGCATTTAGTTCTACTACCACCAGCAGGCTGCTGGGTTGCAGTTTGTTGGTATATCTCCTACACATTCAAAAAAATAAATTAGTTAACCAAGTAAAATTCATCAAAAACAGAGAATTTGGAAGATGATCGAATTTACATGAACCTACCCAACAAAACTGTACTATTTTTGGCCTTCTAAAAGTAATACCAGCTTAGGTGCAGTGAGGAAAGATCAGGGATTCATCTGAGCATATTTGACAATGATGCAATCTTGATAAACTTCAGGGCAACGTGTCCCCTCCCTGTAATTCAGTTGCATCATCATATTATCAGGGGAGCAAGTCAATTTAGCCTTATGTACATGAGGAAAGATGTGAATGATTGTAGTGTTTTAAATAAAGTGGTGCACTTGAACACTTGAGATTTACAATGATCAAATGTTATATATCGAAATGTGTTTTCAAATCGTTCAGATGCTATTTTTTCTATATTCATGCTGCCTTTTTTGTTTAATATCATGCTTAATGTTATGATACCAATCATTCGTTGTAGTAAGTAACCTTGATTTCAACCACAATCATAGATATCTGGTTGCTAACAAACAGCGCAATTCCTCCTCCACTACAATACCATGCCAAATAGTATTTATGTTACTGATGGATGAACGCTTGTCTTGGACAACTCTTCATTTATATATAAAAAAATTTTTTAATTCGCGTATTCTGGGAAAAAAAAATAGGGGTATAAATAAAATTACATCACGCTTTTTGTCGATCGATCAATTATAAAAAAAAATGTCGAAATCGATAAAGAAAAAAAAAACAAAAACGAATTCCAATAGATGCACCCAACAAGTAAGTACCTGTTGGAGAGTTGTTGCTTTTTGTGAGTGCTATTAAACAAAGGATAGACTGCAATTCATATGTCATCATTGCTTTTAATTCATTACTAGTGAGATTTCTTCTCCACGAACATCATCATCATCTATTGTAAGTAAATTGCATTCTCTTCAAATGAATGTCCTATTTTTATTTTAATGAATTCAATTTTGATAATATTGTAATAGATTGATGACGATGAAATAATAAATATTAAAAGTCTCGTTCAAAAGATCTTAATCTGCAGTGGAAGGCCATTAAAGCCACTGGAACCATATGAAATACGTGAGATTTTAAATGAAATTCACATGAAAGAAAGTGGTGATGATAGTGGTGATGATGATAAAAAAAAAAAGAAGAGGAAAATGAAGAATCTGTTGCAATGCAGGTGGTGATCAAGGAGTTAGAAAGCATCGATTACAATGAAGAAGAAGTAAGTCCACTTAATGATGATGGCGAAGAAGATGATGAAGAAGAAGGGAGGAGAAACAGAATGAAGAATCTGTTGTGATGCAAGTGGTAGTTGAGGAGTTAGAAAATGTTGATTATGATGAGGAAAGTTTAGTAGAATGGGATGGTCCAGCTTTACATGGGTCTAGGAACTGGACTAGTGAAGAAATAACAATCCTTTTAAAATATATTTTTAAAAAGAGGTTAAACTGTGCTGAGCTCCAAGAGTTAGGCCTGTTACGGAAGAATCAGGCAATTTGAAAGAAATGGAGTTCAATGAAACATGAAATTAAAAAATTATTTGTTGTTGATTTTTAGAACCACTCTTTTTGTAAGTAATCTTTTCTTTCCCTAGATAAGTTTCGAGTGCTTGAGGGTCACTTAATACGTAAGGAGCAATTTTCTCACCTTGTTCTTTCTTCGAGATACTTCTGATAATACTATAATTCTTGGGTTCCATGGTAGACCCAATGTAAATGAGTTTCATATTAACTATTATGTCTAGACAAATATCGTAATAAAATTGTGATGTTAAAAACAATATTGATCCCTGAAATTCTTGGTAATACTAATGTTCACTTTGGTTCTGTTGCAGCATGCCCCATATGATGGATGCATGTGCATGAAATTCTTTTATGTTTGGTTCTGTTGTACGTGAAAATGAAATTATGTGAATTCGCAATTCACATATGTGAAATTCAAATTTACATGCGTGAAATTCAAATTAGCCAATCAGAATTTCACCTCACTCCATAATATTTCAATTTCACATACAACATGTACCATAACAGATAAACATAGAATTATTGTTTAATTTCTAAAAACAGTTAAACAGATTTTTTAACATAATAAAATACACAACTGCAGTCAACCCTGTTAAACCAAAGAAACAGTAAATCCACCCAAATTTGTTAAACCTAACAGATACTAATACTAACTGCTAATTTTAAACGGAATAACGGGGTCGACTATGTGGTTTGTGGCCTAGTACTAGGCCCTATATAAATTATTTTAATTTTTCTTTTTTGAAATAATCGAATTTTCAATTAATAATAATAATGACGTAGCAAAAAAACGGATCTAGTTACGCAACTAGTAAGGAAAAAAAAAAAGAAAATCATTATATATATTATTATTATATTACATTATTACATTATTACATTATATTACATTATCATATTAATTACTTTTCTTTTCAAAAAAAGAAAAACGGATTTAGTGGAAAAAAAAAGTAATATATTATTTATATGTATTAATATAGGTGAACAATATTGTTACGCAACAAAAATTAAATATTAATATATATATTATTACTTATTTTCTTTTTCAAAAAAAAATGTGATTAAATGATTCATTAAAAAAAAACCAGACAAAAAAATAGAAAATACTTTTACTATTACATTTTTAGAAATAGAAAAATATTTGTATTTTTCATATTTAAAAATAAAAAATGGTCTTCTTTTTAAATAAATAAAATAATTGTTTATACAGTATGCTATTAATTTTGAAAATACAACAATTAAAAGCGAGTAACATTCAAGTAGGAAATAAGTATGTTTTAAGGGTATACTAACATCCTTACTTTCTACTTAAATGGGAAATATTTAAGAATAAAACTAGTATAATCTAAATACAATTCAGGTATGATTTAAGGATAAAATAAGTACAAAATAAGCATATCCCTAAAAAGAGCAAAACACATTAAATTCTACTTAATTCACGCTGATATTACACTTAAACAATGCTTAATTTCTACGCAATTTTAAGTATGTTTTGAGAGCATAATAAGGATATTTTAAGTGTGCGAACTTTGCATAGGGTATGAAAATTGTCTTAATAAAAAAAGCTCATTCTATATCTAAAACAGTCATACTACTTATTGAACTTTATCAGCAAAAAATCAGATGTTGCTTTAATTATGGTAATCAAAGGCTGTATTTTCTCTAAATTTTCAAAATTAAATCCTGAATTTTCTTACAAAAATTTGTAACAATGTTAGTTTACACTTTATACATTAAAAAAAAAGTAACAAGCATTTATTTAATTGAATCATAAAGAAAGTTTCAATAATATTATTCAATTTGATTTGATCTACAAGGAATCAAAGGAACCAATTTCAATCAGAATTTTTGATTCTTTTTTTAAATCAAACACTCAATGAAAGTAAAAATTTCATTCCCAAAAAACTATTTTATCCTAATGATAATTACATTATCATTGCCTATGTTATTGCCATATCATTGTCATATCATTGTCGTATCCTTGTCTATGTCCTATTCTTAATTCTTAAAGAAATCAGTTCATTCCCGTGAAACTCTGATTTACTTTTTGGGACATTCTTTTTTTTTATTATTTATTTTAAACGGTAATGGTGATCATCACAGAAATTTTCCAAAAATCGTTACCAGTCATCTGTGATGTCACAATGAGTGATTTTGTTATAGCGATTGACATAGCACTTTTCCATACAACAGACTTTAAAACCAAAAATGAACGAAAAAAGCATGATCAAACATCCTTCATGTTTCTATGTAAACATATTTTCATAGTTTCGCTCTTTCAATCACAATCTTTTATACTTCATTAGCTTTTTTCATTCAAGAGAAATAATTATTCGAAAAGGCACATACTTTTTGCCTTTGG